TAAGTGATATTCTGTGGGCTGCTGACTGAGGATTTATTTTTTTATAGTGAAAGTTATAAAGGGAGAAAGTAATCGAAGCGGATTTTACGGCAGGGTTAATTCGATAAGTCACTGGACTACATGAGTTTTAAAATATTGGAATCTCCAATAGCATTATGGGTTAATCCCGCATCTACGAATGTTAGCGTTTATCTTGTCCGGCTTCCAGTAATATTTCTTCATGCCATATATCTTCGAAACTTTTCTTATTGGTATTCTGGAGATAATTAAAAGTGTGTGGAAATCGTTTCTAAATGTTACGCAATTGGTTAGACTAATGTATTTGTGACACACGTTTTAATAAAATTACATTAGAATATGTAAGACTTTCCGAAATTTGTAAGATAACAAAGTTATTTTTTTTAAATGCTGGATTTGAAAATTAACTTGACAAATCGGAGGTTAGAAAAATTTTATCGAATTTTTAAAACGACAATTGATGTTCACTGCTGTAAGATTAAAATGGAAAAGAATGAAGCTTTATACAACGTGTTTAATGAAATTTCACCTGATTCCTGATTCGAGGTGTTCAAAACGAAATAGGAGAATTTCGAAATTGAGTATTGGTGAATAAAAAGAAGAAACGATAACATTTGTCTTTGAATTATCAACCAACAGTAAATACCATTAACAATTTGACTAGGGTTGTGAGGAAGAAAACTGTAAACTCTTATAATTTTAGTTGTTAAAGGAAGTTTACGACAGAGCTCTCCTGTAAAAAAGATTTTCTAGTAGAACTTGAGCCAAATTCGATGGTTTCTGGTGGTTAACTCTCATATGCTTAATCGCAATAACTACGAAATAAGTATTACTTTTCCATCATCCACACCAAATATGCCGAAACGCGTCGCATAGTGCTGAGTGTCGGCATGATATGTCCCCACATGCGACTATGGGGACATATCATGCCGACTACTGGCTATAAGCACTATTTTAATAAAACTGCAAAATTTAATAGAAAGTGATTCATAACTTGTTTATTAATTCAAAAACTAAAATAATCAAATCTGAAAGTTGTTGAAAATTCTTCAAGCATTGCAAAAGGAATTTAGTAATTAATTAAATATTTAATGTGCTCAATATTAAAATATTATATATTAAAAAACAATTTGAAACAAGTTGTTAAAGAATCATGATATAATAGTCCGAGATTGGTTCGGCTTCGAACCGAAAATCAGAATAATTTAACTTGCGAATTCGGTCCGATTTCTGACCGAAAGTTATATGTAGTGTCTGTCGGAACGATTTCGGACCGAACTCAGAAGAAATAGTATGCACATTTCTGATTATTTCCGACTTTCTACCAGTTGGCAGTCCGAATTCGGATAAAGGTTTTATGAAATTTTTATGTACATATTACCAACAACTATCATAATGTAATTGCAAAAGTAAGTAGCAACAACATTCTTCAGTAATAACTTATGAATATGTATAAACACTCATCAAATAATTGCCATATAATACAAATATTTTCAGATAATTTTTCAAAATCTGCTTTCAAAAATTTTAAATATCCACTTTATAAAAAAAAAAAACAAATATTTCTGCCACCGTCAAACTTCAACTATATTTTAACACTAGTTGGCGAACGCACCCTTTTCGGTACAAACCGACAAAAATTACGCTTCTATTTCATCCATAACGTATAAGCACAAAAAAACTTTCAAAGAGAGAGAGAGAGAGAGAGAAAATCAGTCTGTTTATTTTCTTTATGCTTGTTTACAACAAGTATTACCACACAAGCAGAAGCGAAAAACCCTCTACAGGAAAAAAAACCTCCGAAAATCGGAAAACCCGTCAGACTTTGAGCAAACGTGTCGGACATTTGGTTCGCTGGCTATGTAGAGTATCAAAAGTATTTTATAGATGAATTAATGTTAAACCTTCTTGAAATAAAAATGTTTTATAAAGTTGTTTTTAATAAATTTAATTTCCGTTGTAAACGGTTTTCTTTTTGGTTGAAAAGTTTCATTTCAATTATAAAAAGTTTACGTATTCAAAAAAAGATGATGTATTCTTGATCTTATTAAGCTACGTCCTTCGGTCCGTGGTAATCACGAGTCCAAATGACTCATGATAAGAAGCTTAAATGTTGCACAGATCAGTGTTTTGTCTACTGTCAGGTGAAGTTCGAAGATGGGTTACAATTTCGTAAATGTGCTAACTTGGCGTTCATTTTTACTTTTTCTGACTAGGCAATTTTGTTAAATTCATCTGACCAACGTTTTTATAACCCCAAACTTTATTAACGCTTTACTCGATGTGCAATGAAAAACGTGTTTCTGTCGAGAATAATACCAAGAACTGTAGATTGCTTGTGTAATGTTAGATTAAGTGAATTACGGTTACGCTTAAAAACGTCAAATGTGTGTATCTTTGGATAGAACTTAATTTAAGAGTTTTTTTTTCTGTGCCGACATTTTATGGAAATAAATGGCACCTATTCATGGATATTCAAATATATTGCAAAGGAAATGATAACACTAAAGAGCCTACGTCATATTTTGTGAAGAAAAATGTGGCCGAAGTATATGATATCGTAATGAAACCAAAATTACTGCCTACATACCTCGATTTGTGTGCTGTCTGTAATCTTATTCCAATTTTCATTTTGTACGTTGGTAAACTTTGCTAGATATGAGAGATAGATTACAAACCAGCGCTTATTATAGTACTATTATTTGAAGCAATATGGGAGATAAGACTAACAAATTCAATTCAGTCAAAAGAACACCCCTATCTCCAGTGTGTAAAAATTATAGCTACTTTTAACCGTAGTTATCTTTTTTAATACCCTTCGCAATGGCTTTTATGTACTTATGGTTGATCATTGCATTTGCAAAATCGTGGGATGGTCATGTAAAATGATAATGAAAGATGTTGTGGCCTTTGGAATTGCAATTTTCGAAAGTAGTGCTGAATTGTGCTAAGTTTGTGACAAATTGCTATAGAGTGCATGTTATGAATTTGAGAATGCTTACATTAAAATCGGGGAGGCATATTATTCGAAATTTGATCCAAAACTCGACCTAATAGGACAAACGTAGGTGCATCATATGTCTCAAATTGGAAGGATATATCTGCGAACCATTTCCAATTCTGAGCCGATGAAGTCAATATTATCGGAAAATATTAAGATTAAATTACATATCCGTGTTATAAAATGGTGAACTTCGAGAAAGAGTTTTGAGATTATACAAGCAAATTTGCAACAAATACAATTCAACAACATTCACATGCGTATTTCCTATTACAAGTAATGCTAGTGCCAGAGCTGCACTCTCGACAATGTAAACAAAACAAGAAACAATCAACCGAAGGAAAATTCCTCAAACCATTAAAAAGCTGTTAACTTGGATAGATACTAATATGTATGTTTATAAATGCATATAGTGATCGTAAAATTTAAGAAAATGTTAATATGAAAATGAGCGAGTATTACAATTTAAATTATAAGGAAAAACTTTTAATTTTTGTGGTTTCTGTTTTATTCCTATTATTATACACTCCGCCATTCTATGGAGGGCATGATAACTTTGTCATTTCGTTTTTGGATCAGCATAAAATTTTGGATCAGCGTAAAATTCTCGATTAAATGATGCCCGTCTGACTGTTGTAATCACGCTATCTTTCAAACGAATTAAGATGAAGGGTAAATTTTTACAAACATGTGTATTTTTCAAATAGGCGGATTAAGCTCATAAATTGGTTATCACGGTCCACGTTTTCTTATAGCCCCCAATATAATGGTATCTCGCTATATTCGGTATTTTGATGATTTCGTATTCGAAGGTCTTAATGGATACGACCGCCTGTGACAAAATATTACATATGCAAACCCATATAATGATACCTCCCTTTATTCGGTATTTTGACGATTTTAATGACATTATACACCCTATTTGAAGTTCGTAATCAGTACTAAAACCTATAACAGAACATTTTCTATAGAGAACCACGTCTTCGTATAGTCCAATATAACGGTACCTCTCTTTATTCGGCATCTTGATTATATTAGCGACGTTTTCTTATAGCCCCCAATATAATAGTATCTCGCTATATTCGGTATTTTGACGATTTCGTATTCGAAGGTCTTAATAGATACGACCGCCTGTGACAAAATATTACATATGCAAACCCATATAATGATACCTCCCTTTATTCGGTATTTTGACGATTTTAATGACATTATACACCCTATTTGAAGTTCGTAATCAGTACTAAAACCTATAACAGAACATTTTCTATAGAGAACCACCTCTTCGTATAGTCCAATATAACGGTACCTCCCTTTATTCGGCATCTTGATTATGTTAGCGACATTATACACCAAAATTGTTTCAATTTTCTTATTTGATATTCGAAATCGATACTACGGCCTATGACAGAAAATTACTTATGCAGGCCCACGTTTTCATATAGTTCCCATATAACCGTTTTCATTCACCAGTAAAGTGCATTTTTAACTTTTCTCTTGGACGCTGAGATGAACATAAAAACTAGTTTGATTCAACAACTCATTTTCGCATTCAACTCATTTTCTTTTCCACTACCACTTATTGTGCCACTATGGCTAAAATCAAATAACCAATATCGGGCGGTATCGTTCTATGGAAAACGTGGGCCAATCTGGAAATTAAATATGCACTTTACTGCGTTTCTAACGAATAGTAATAACATAGTTACAAGCAGCGCTACAGATATATACGTGAATGAGACTGGGTAGATTATTAAAAGAAACAATTCATTTTCACGTTACAAACAAAGTGCTATTCTGAAGCACAGATCCAAAGCGTATTCATAATTCGACCCAAATGACTTCGAAAACATTTTAATAAATATTTACTCTTTGTTTTTGTGTTCAAATAATCTTGCGTGAATATACGTACGTATATATGTACCTATTTAGATAAAATAACTTTAAATGCAATGAATACAAATTTATCAGTAATTCCAAAAATATGATCATAACGTGGATGTAGAACAATCGTGTGTATGGATACTAGAAAACTGGGAAGAGCAGTAAGATTAGAGATAAAAGACTTGAAACGAAAGAAAACTCTTACGATATCGAGATGCACGAAAAAACAGGGAAAATTATACCGCTTCAAGTGGCATTGACGATCTGTTTTGCGGTGGCATGCATTTCAGGCTCCAAAGTAAGTAAATGCAATGAGGTCTGTAAAACGTATCTTTAATAGTTGATTTCAATTTACAGGTAAATGTGTGCAAACCAGAAAAAACGGCAACGGCAAACGGCGACTTTGTTTGGGAACATAAATATGATGACGTCGATTTTGCTGTTTCGAAGCCAGATGTTTGTTGGATCAATGGTTCCATTCTTGTGCGTCAATGCGCCCGAGACAATAAACGGAAATATTGGTCTCCAAATGGAGAAAATTGTGAAAAGTTTAAGCGCCGTAACTTAAAATGCCCAGAAGATTTGGGCGAAGTACTCGTTAATGGAAAAATTGTTTGTGTAAGGCTATCGAAAACTCGACAGCAGTACGATAGTTCCTTTTGTCAAGGCTCCAACTACATTTTAAGTCCAAATGATAACGAATTGATAGCATTTCTACTAGAAAAAAATGTTGATGGGTTGTGGCTTCCGGTGGAGAGGGCGAAAGGCAACGGCATCAAACCCTTTTTCATACGCCTACCGGGCTTTATGTGGAATACATTGTACGAAATCCCATTTGACAAGGTCATAAACTTATCGGACAAACATTGTGTAGGGGCCTTTCTGAAGAAAACTGGTTCAGCCCTGACAATGAATATAGAACCAGTGGTCTGTGTCGCTTCCCTGTACTCCGTGTGCGTTTTTAAAGATGAACTTGTTGCCAGGAATGGCTGCCCTCAAAATTTTGGCGCACTCGGCTATCGCCCCAGTGAATGTTATGGTCTTACTTGGGATGGAAAGAAGTTTCCCCAGGACTTGCGAATGCTGGATGCTGACGAGTTTTTTGAAAAATACAATGAACTACGTACAATTTTCGACAAACAGGGTATTACGGCAAAAACTGATGTGGAAGTCAAAGGCAGCTTTCTTATACCCAATGCAAAATGGACGGTGGACATGAATAAGGAAATGCTATCCATAAAGCCAGCTAGTAGGAGGACTAAAAGCTTGTGCGTTGAGCACGTTGCTAAAAGAAAAGACGTCGAAATTATTTTACGCATGGATCATAACGGAGGCGATACGTTGGTGCTAACTGTTTACAACAAATTCTATATTTGGTCATTAAAGAACAAAGTCGATTTTACCCTACACTGCTTTGCCCACACCAGATATGGTGATTTGTTAAATGTCGATATCAATCGACTCTGGGAGAATGAATCCCAAACAAAAACAATGTTCGAATTGAGTATTAAACATGAAGAACCTACTCTTTATTGGTGTGAAGCTCATACAATTTTTAACTTTACAATGGCGACGTCGACCAAAATCGTGGCAAGTAAAAACAAGAATAGCTTCAATTTCGCCATGCAACTCGACCTTCCTTTGCCAAGAAATGAATCCGCGGAATGGACAAATAAATCTCTTCGACAATTCATAAAATATTTTACCAAAGACATTGAAAAGATGCTGAAGCTGCAAAAGACAGTTGACAGTAAACTGGACGAACTCGACATTCAGAGCGTTCGTATAATGAATATTTTAAGTGGATCAACTGTGCGAGGAGAACTGAGAGTTCTGTGCCATATTACCATATCGCTCAAATCGTTAGATTTTAAACGAGACTCATCGGAGGGAAGTGAAAGTCATGAAGATGACGAAGTTGGGGAATCGGAAGTAGAGGCCATTCTGATGGGAAGGGATTTGCTAAAATACTTGATACAAGGATTGCAGCAGCATATGGTGCACACAGTTAGAAGTACACAGTATTGTCTTCCTGAGAACCACTGGCCAAGAGCATCTCTGGGCGAAATATCAAGCACTGTTAAATTTTGCCTGCAGAACAACGGTCTACCATTGACTCGAAAATGTCTTGGCAATTTTATGGAGGGAGCATATTGGGAAGATATATCTCACATTGCCGCAAGTTGCTTTGGCCCTACGAATGGAAATGCAAAAACCAAAGAGCTATTTGACATGTATGCTATGAAAATCTCAAAGAAATATCCAGAAAAGGCAATGCAAAATGTGAGAGAAATATTGGAAAACAATATAAAAGAGTTAATTCCGGCTGATTTGCATTATATGGCGAAAATTATTCGTAAAACGGTTAAAACCGTTCTTAAGCAATATAATTTTACAACCACCGAACAATGTAATAATTCTCTCATCAGCGTTGTCGAACAAAATGCTACGCCGCCGCACAACATGTCGGATATTATATCAGAAATCGACAGAATTTTTAACTATTTGCTAAATGTTGATCAGAAAATCTTACAGTCTGCTCGAGTGCTGAACTCCACCAATATCCTTTTGGACACTTTTGAACTTATCGTTGACGAGATATATACCGCTAACCTGCAGCGAATCTACAATTCGATTAATGTCAGCATTTCTTCCGTTCCGCAGAACAACCATGAAATTGACGTTGTTGAATTTAAAGATGCTGGCGTAATTGTTAAAGCTGCCACCAATTTTGTAATTTTTGCCATCAATCCCGTCATTGCTAATGTGACAGGTGTTGCCATATTTCGTGATGTCGACGATAGCGTTGAACGCTTAGATGACAACCATTTGGGAGGGGCATTTTCAGACGAACATTTTCGATTCATTTGTGCCAATCAAAGCGCCAATCATTTGCTCAATATGGAAAACATTGTCATTGGAGCTTTTGTGCCAGAGAGTATGTGGTATCGTCTGGATGAAATTTCAGCTTTGTCCAATAAGAGTAAGATATTCGTGAATCGTCCAAGGCCCTCAGTGATAATAAAGATATATTCGAATGACAAACTTTTTCAGGAAGACGAGGAAGAAGAGTCGTTGCTCAGTTCGGTTATGGGAAAAATAATGTCGATTTCCATACCTGGCCATGATAAAGACCTCCCTGAGTTACTTCCCATAATATTAAGCAGCGACGACAATAGCGAGAATAATAACCCCCAATATTGCAGTTATTGGAATTACAAAACATGGGTCAAGGATGGTTTGACACTACTAAACAGATCTGCTCTAAATAACAATACTATTTTATGTGGCTCCTCTCACCTGACACCGTTCGCCTACCTGTTGAGGGGTAGTAACAATTTATCTGTCGACTCGGACGTGCAAGTAATAGTCACCAAACTTCACGAGAATGCTCTAAACATTATAACGCTCCTTGGTTGTTCACTTTCCATATTTGGAGTCACAGGTATTTTTGCTACTGCCTGTACCTTCCGTACATGGCGACAGAAACCCAATTCTAGAGTACTCCTACAACTCTCGGCTGCAATAGCTCTCCAAATGATTCTATTCTGCTTCGTCAATACCACCGAATACTCGCTTCATTTGATACAAAATGAAATCTTGTCCAGTTGTATTGCATTAGGGGCGTTGTTGCATTATTCAGTTCTGGTGCAATTCTGCTGGATGATCATTATTGCCTACCTGCAGTTTAAGAGATATGTCAAAGTCTTTGGAAATACGCGGCCAAAAAGATTCTTTGTCAAATCAACACTTATAGGGTGGGGCTTACCCGTTATTCCCGTATTTATGGTGCTTTTATTTGATAGCTCATCGTACATTCCACATAATGGAGATTCCAATAACCCAATATGTTATCCATCCGGTAAATCGTTGTATATTGGGGTCGTTCTACCCATATCTTTAGTGATTTTGGCGAATTTAGTTATTTTCGTGGTGGTGATTTACAACATCCTTAAAAGTCCGGCCGGTTCTGTACGACACACGGAAAAAAACTTTGCTCTTTCTCAAATGCGATTACTACTATTGCTGTTCTTCCTTCTAGGATTTACGTGGATATTTGGCCTAATGACTACAACGGGGGCAGGCTTGTTATTTTCATATCTATTCTGCTTAACAGCCACAATTCAGGGCTTTGTGTTATTCGTTTATTTTATACTAATGGATCCAATAACACGTCGGTTGTGGTTGGGAAATTTACGAAATTGGTGTAATGTTGGACAAAATGCTGTCAACACAAGTTCAAAATCGAAGGATACAACACAAAGTTTTTAATCTCAAATAACTTAGTATTTATATTATTGTATAGATATATCTACGTATGTGTATGCAGACACATAATACAAAAAGTATATATATTTAAATATAAAAATAAAAAATATGTGTATTAGTTTTGTGGGAACTAAGCACAACATTCAACTAAGGTTAGATAGAAAAAGTGGTTTAATCCTTAACAAGTAAAGCCGCAACGAATTGTTTATGCCCACCAACACTAAAGAAATTAACAATTCTTTGGTGTGCTCATTAACGATTAGCACTATGATATGCTTTTGAGCAAAAAATGATGTTATGCAGTTAGTCATTTGAATCGTGGAAGAATGAATGACAATATTTCATTGTCAAAATTTATATTTATAAATCCATTGTCTACCTAGAAATCAGAGATTGGAACCTTTTTCTTATTCAGTGAAATTTGACAAGGTAAACTACAGAAAATACACTGAAAGAAAAAGCTTCATACTATAAATGAAATCCTACGTTCCGTCAATGAAATTTGTTATTGCTATTGAACCAACGTAGAGGTTTATTGAATAAGTGAAACAAGTTTCATTGAGTTTCATTTATGTAAAATTAACGAAATTGTTCATTAATATAATGAAAATTCTTCCTTGATTCAGTTAAATGAAAATGGTGGAGGGTATTAAAAGCTCGGTCCGGCCGAACTTTGCTTTTTTTACATCTTAATACCTACACCACACTGTGGTAGTGGGTAATTTGTCGTTTTGCATTTGTTTGTAACAGGTAGACATACGCGATATAAACCCTACTTTTTTGGATGATCTTTATAAAATCACGTTCTGAGTAGGTTTATGCATGTAAGCAAGTTCTAACTCTAAGAACGAACTCCATAACGTAACGTTTCATCCATTTCATGAAACTGCTTCATTAAATTGGAGCACAAATTTAAATATAACAATTATCACAAATTTCCCACTAATTGCAAATACTTTGGTTGCGTATTTGTTTGTATAAGACAGCGCTATTATGTATAATTTCTATATTTACATTTTTTACTGCGTTTTGTAAAAATAAGTAGTTTTGTAACATTAATGAAATCCGTTTCATATATTCAATGAAACCAAAAATCATTGAATTTAAAAGCAACGTAAGTTTTCATGGCATGAACAAAAAATTTATTATATTAATGTAGCATTTTATTGCATCAATGAAAAAAATCAACGAAACCGGTTCGTTGATATAACGAAGCATTTTTCTTTCAGATTGCAGAGATGGAAAGCCTTATTTGAAATCCCTTTACCTCCTTAACATTATCATGATTTGAATAAACTTTTAATAGAATTATCTTCATAACACTTTCAACACATGTTTTATATTAACAACAAAAAGGTGAAACCACATGCAAAAGAATGTAAATCAAGATTTTTATTAGAAAAAAAGTATATTTAAACGTGGTAAACTTTGTATTGTGTGATGTGCAGTATATTTTATTCTAGTTTTTGTTTTCTCCCGTATTTCTTTAGGGAAATTTGATTTATATTTTGTTTTTGAGAAACACTATATATGTGGTGAAAGGTAATAGACTGTTCTATCATAAAAGAATCCATGAAGCCTATATCTCAAAAATTCATATATTTTTACATTTGGCTGGAAAATCACCAATAACCCACGAATGGAATAAACTGGTTTTAAGCAATATGTGAACTAAGTATTATCGTCAAATATTTTACAACCATGAAAAAGCTAACTAGTAACATTTGCGCATAAAACAACCTAAAGCGACCAAGAAACAAACATATCTTAATCTGGGGTTTCCACCTAAATAGACAGAAAAACAAATGTGTTTAGAAGGTAGCTTGTTCTACCTCCTGTTATTGTACCATCATGCAACCGAAGATGAATGTACTTTCTGCAATTGCCGCGCAAGTATAATTTTTAAGAAATAAATATAACATTTCGGCAAAGAAATTAAAAATGCTCAAAAAGTTGAATTAAATATGAAACTTATTTCTGCACCAACAACCAACTAATATGTCATTTGGTGTTTCCAGTGCAAATGTGTTATTTTTTAAATGAATCACAATTTTTAAGTTTATTGTAAATAGGTCGCAAGCAAGTAAACTTGGGGAAACACTGGCTATACTTTGTATAGGCCAGAATGGGTAGTCGTCGGAACTTGATCACATTACCTAAAATATATTTTTATTGGAATAACGTAACATAGCTTGTGCATCATTTACACCAAATAGGAGCGAATTGTATATGAAACCTACACATATCTAAATCTGTATAGATTTCTAAAATAATGAGTGAAGTATTTAAAGCTGATACATTTTGTCGAACAGCTTTATTATCGTGTTAATATTAAGAATTTAGGGGTGGTCCCATGTGTATGGCTTCATCTGATTTTCACCAATTTTGGGCTGATTTATATGCGTGCTAGATCTGATCAGATTTATACCAAATTAAACAGAGTTTCTCTTCTAATAGGATTGGATCCAGGAAAGCCTATTTATTTTCCGTATGTCTTCTTTCCGTATGGGCGGTATTTTGGCCCATTCCCGACGAAGCGCTTGCTTGAGGTGATCGACACTTTGGTATTTTTTAGTGCCAACCTTGCTTTCCAAACTACTCTACACACAATAGTCCAACAGATTGGTATCTGGATATTTTAGTGGTCATTGTGCGCTGGAAATGAAGCGAGAAACCTCATTTTGTAAAAATTCTTGGGTGGCGCGTGCTGAGTGCGATGTTGGAATGTCCAAGGTCTGCGGCCAAAGTGTTTGCGTGCCCAAGGCTTTAATACACCCTCCAGAATATTGCAGCATTTATTCTGATGCCACGGTCGATTAATACGAGTTTTTCCGGAAATTTTCAAAATATGTACTACAGCATCCCCTGAAAGTAACATATATACACTTTTGAAATTCTTCAGAAAAGATTTTGATTTTATATGCAAATATTTTTTGGCCGGTCAAATTATATTGAAATCGGTTTAGATTTGGATATAGCTCGCACATATAAATTTTCGTCCGACTTCATGTGTTTCATGCATCAAACACGATGTGTATGGTTGATTCCAATGAAACTTGGAATAAGAAACGGAAGTTGGTACAAACGTTTTTTGAATTAAATTAAAATTAGTTCAGGTTTGGATATAGCTTGATCCTCCCATTTATATTTTCGCCCGATTCCGTATATTTGCTGCACACGCTGTGTATTTCCAATTTGAATGAAATTTGGAATGCCTGACGGAATGTAGCCTACAATAACATTCTATAAGTAAGACTTTATAGAATTAAATTTTTTTATAAAATATAATAGATTCTATAAAATAAGACTTTATAGAATTTATACTTACTAGAAATACCCAGGAAATTTGTCATTTTTTAAATGTGATGTTTTCTGGCTTGGGAATCAAACCCGGGCGTTCATGGAATATTCTATCCTCTGCACCTCTGTGTCATATTGTCCTCCGACAGAAGAAAGGCTTATTTCTGTTCAATTCTTAAATAAGTGTAAACTGTCGTTTTTTTGTCCAATAGAAGTCACGCAATCCTATTAAATCAAATTAATTTCAGTAAATTCTACGATTTTCCTATTTTTAATTGCTGGACTCAGAGAGGAAAGAAAGAATAAAAACACATTCGTAGATTTTAAAATACAAAAATGTAATTTTTAATTTTAAATTTGTATAGATTTAGTTGACCTTTGGATTTAGTTTCTTTTTTTTTTTTTTTTTTTTTTGTTTTGTAGGTTGACTCGAGGTAAGTAGAATTAAAGAAGTAACAAGTTAAAAAGCAGTAAGTTCGGCCGGGCCGAACTTTTAATACCCTCCACCATTTGCAACGAATTTGGAAATTTTCAAAAAATACAATCCTTAAAAAATTCTGTTAAAATTTTAAAAATACCGAATATAGCCGTTATTTTGGGGTCTATACGACGTGGACATACATAGGCATTGTTTGTCATAAGCCATTACCATATTCAAATTCGAAACTTGAAATAAACGGTGAATAATGTAACTAAAATCATCAAAATACCGAATATAGGGAGGTACCGTTATATGGGGGCTGTCCGAAGACCTGGACCCGCACAGACAATTTTCAGTCACAGACTGTAGTTCCCATAACGAACTTCAAATACCAATTTTAAAACAATTCCGGTGAATAATGTCGCTAAAATCATCAAAATACCGAATATAGGGAGGTACCGTTATATGGGGGCTATATGAAGACGTGGACCTGCACAGACAATTTTCTGTCTTAGGGTGTAGTATCCATTTTGAACTTCAAATACCAAATTTGAAACAATTCCCGTGAATAATGTCGCTAAAATCATCAAAATACCGAATATCGGGAGGTACCGTTATATGGGGGCTATACGAAGACGTGGACCTGCACGGATAATTTTCCGTCTTAGGGTGTAGTATCCATTTTGAACTTCAAATACCAAATTTGAAACAATTCCCGTGAATAATGTCGCTAAAATCATCAAAATACCGAATATAGGGAGGTACCGTTATATGGGGGCTATATGAAAACGTGGACCTACATGGCCCATTTACGAACTTAACCTGCCTACTGGAAAAATAAACATGTGTGCAAAATTTTAGCCACCTATCTCAATTCATTCGAAAGATAGCGTGATTACAACAGACAGACAGACAGACGGACAGACAGACAGACAGACAGACGGACAGACAGACAGACAGACAGACAGACGGACATCGCTAAATCGACTTAGAATTTTACGCTGATCAAGAATATATATACTTTGTTGGGTCTGATATGAGTATTTCGAGGAGTTACAAACGGAATGACAAAGTTAATATACCCTCCATAGTATGGTGGAGGGTATAAAAACTAGCAAAGTTCTTTGAATTACTTTTTATAGCCTCCCTCTGTTAATACCTTCCACCATTTCGAAGAAAATTGCTAAATATTAAGAAAATTTCATCGAAACGGTACAGTACCATACTGTTTATTTTCGAACGCTGTCGCTAAGTCGACTTAGAATTTTACGCTGATCAAAAATATAAATAAGACATGAGTAATTCGAAGACATTTTTTTTATACCCTCCACCATACTATGGAGGGTATATTAACTTTGTCATTCCGTTTGTAACTCCTCGAAATACTCATATCAGACCCAACAAAGTATATATATTCTTGATCAGCGTAAAATTCTAAGTCGATTTAGCGATGTCCGTCTGTCTGTCTGTCTGTCCGTCTGTCTGTCT